CCTGGGCGCGCCTGCCTCCCGGGCCCAGCCCCGCCCGGGCAGGCCTGCTGTCTGTCTGTCTCCCTGTGTCCACCTGGCTGTCTGCCACTTTCCGGATCCATCCTCCCTTTGTCCCCTGTCTCCATGCTGTGTCCCTCTGTGCCGTGTCTCTGTCTCCGTGTCCTGTGTCTGTCTCCGAGGCTTGGTCCAGGGCCATGTTCCTGGCCTTCCTGCCATCACCTTCCCGGCTCCCCCTCCCCGCCTCCCCTTCTGTGGGGGCGGGTGTACTTTAAAACCACTGGGCTGACCCCTCCTCCGCAGCCCTTGTCCTGAGCGGTTCTCAGCCCCTTGGATTCGTGGGTCTGAGGGCGGTCAGCTGTTCTGGACACTTGAAGGCAATAAAACAGGACCCTGTGCTGTGTGTGTGTGTGTGTGTGTGTGTGTGCAGAGTGGGGGCAGGGCCGCCTGGTGGTGGGGTGCCCCAGAGGCCAGTGTCCAGGCTGCACTGGGGCGCCCTCTGGTGGCCATGCTGGGTCCCTGCGCCCTAGCTTTCGGCCTGGGGCTCCTGGTTGCCATGTGGATGTTTTGGGGGCTGGAGTTTAGAAGGCGAGGCCGGGGCCTGGTGTCTGCAGGGTGACTGCCCGGCTCTGCCCACCAGGTGTCCTCATCTCGGCCTTAGAGGACCAGAGGGTGCGGGTGATGGCGGCTGGTGGCTCAGGGAGGAGGGGGTGACCGGGCGCCGTGGGGGAGCGGGTCAGAGTGTGCTGGGCCTGTCCAAGGGCTGCTCGCACTCCTGGGTCTTCCCTGGCTGAGGACGAGGTGCCTGGAGGTCGTGGACACAGCTGGGGGAGGGTTTGAGAGCTGGGCTGGTGGGTGGGGGGTGGTCTGCCCCAGGACCCTGCTCCCCGGGGACTGTCACTCACCTTCGGACACTCCCAGAGGTCTTTACTGACCCTTCTCTCCCCGTCGCTGGGGCCTGCTGGCTGGCGTAGGCGCCCCGGGCCCTGCGTCCAGGCTGCCTCCCACCTGCATCCACCTTCCCGGCCTCCCCTCGGGGCCTGCCTGCCTGGGCCTCCCTCCGCCACACCCTGCACCCTGAACCCATTCTCAGCTCCCAGGCCCTCACTTCTTCCCCTGGGAGGAGGTGGGCCCAGGAAGGGGGGCCCCTGGGCACATGGCGAGGCCCTGGGAGGGACACAGGCCCCCAGGAGGCAGGTGCCCCTACCTGGACCCATTCTGCG